GGCATAGAACTATGAATATCCCATACAAACCCAGAATTTCAATGCATTTACGATTTTTAGCAGTTCTGAATACATGAAGTAAATTCAACCAGAAGTAAAGTGTGTGACTCATTCCTTGTCTTAATTTTCAGGTTTAGAGAGATAAACACGAGGAAAAACAAATGGTTAAAAAATGCACTGAAATTATTGAGCAACTCCACTCACTGTGGTTTCTGACGAAACTTAGCCCCATGTTGAAAGCATTTGGTCTAATAACTATTTAGTTTTCCTATAAAAACATACAAAACAAAGAGCCAGGCTGATTGTAATCTATACCATTTTCTGTGCAGGAATACAAAGACATATCATCTGCTATATAGAAAAATGTTTACTAATTGGAATGGTGACGCAGGAGCTGGAATGATCGATCCAGTGTGCAAAATATGCACCCATAAAGGGGTCCTGACATTAGTCCATGTGCACAGCTATGGGTGGATCTGTACTGAGGTCAGGTCTGTAGGGCTGGTCCTCACATTAGATCATGTGTATAAGGAGACTTACACATACCCAGCATCTGTCTACTTGGTATAGTCATAGTGTTACCATATTGTGATAGATTTCTGATAAAATTAAAACCCAATATTTCCATAAAAATAAATCATTAAATTTGATCATTAAGTCATGATCATTATCTGATTCACTTATAAGGTTTCTGGGTCCCAGTCTCACCACCTTATATACACAGATGGTTGAGTCATCTAGACTGTGGGTTGGTTTGTGAACACTAACAGGGTCCTTTCTGACTAAAACACCACAGGTTGCAAATAGGCCCATCACATAGAAAACTGTAGAGGAAGAATAAGGGCGTCAGAAAGTAAATATGGAAAGTGAATAATTGACAGCATAGGAAACAAAGAATTTAAAAGAAAAACATTTGAAAAACAAGATAGATATTGAACTGTGCTTTCATTTAGAAAGCCCCTTAGAAGACAAATGTCCAAATAGCCACAAAGGAAACCTCAATTTCTTCCCCATTGCTGTATGGCAAAGACACTGCAGGCGCTGTAATGATGCACTCCTTCATGACAAGTGCCCAGCATTTTGTATTATTAAATGCGACTAACTTGCAAATAACTGGTACCACACATCATGCTGTGTGCATCACGTCACCTGTCATTTGCAATCATCATTCAAGTCTAATACATGGCACCTATCCCTGTGATTCGGGACCATCATTTGTCACCCATTAGATAGATTCTTAGGCACAAGAACTCAGTTGCAAAATAAAAATGTTATCTCCCTCTCTGACATCTGTCGCTACGATTCTGTGCACGGCAAACTGAGGCTTGTAGCTTGTGAAGTATTATGACTGCCATTCCTTTCACAATTATCCACAAAAAAACCCTGAGCAGTTGCATATTCTTTTGCCTTGATTTTCTTTTCTTCTTTCATTCCATGAAATTGATTTCAGTAGGTTTTGTGGCAAGAAGTATATAGCTGCCCGACACATATTATCCTAAGAATGGAAACACATGGGAGTCAAATACCACAAGCAAATAACTGAAAGGTGAATTGTGGCTGTCTCTGGAAGTGTTGATTTCCTTATGTCTTACTGCATTTTCCACATTCCCTTAGAAGGAAGATGGCCAAGTGTAATGGTTGCAAACGCGAACATTATTAAATTTTCAAGAAGCAGGAGCAAAGAAGGATTTGAACGCCAATACATTTAAATTCGTATGAAAGTCACCATACACCTTGGAAATGGTAAATGAGTGAGCCTTTCTAGAAATTGCATGGATTCCAATTCAAATCCCTTCTGGTGCCCCATAAGCACAAATTGCCTGAAGAGGTATTTTTCTTCTGCTGCACAATAAGCTCTCCTTATCAAAGAGTGCTAAGGATCTTTAACTGACTTCACTCTTGGGGACATAAAGCATCGCTGATATAAAGGGAAACTGGCCCAGAAATGGTTTCACAATATCTAGGGCTAACTATGAACAAAATAAATAGGCCTGTTCTGTTTTTCCACAGTTCATATTTTTAAACCATTACTGGTTTCTGAAAAAGCACACATGCTATCCAAACTTGTCTTGCTAGGTCATGCCTTCCCAAAAAGAACCCGAGGGCTGGGCTATTTTTAAAATTTCATAAGTGGTCAGACTCCCTCCCAAATGCGCTGAGCCTAATCCCACCAAATTTCCTAGATGGAATTCCTGCCCTCCTCCTTCAGGGTTATCTGCCTGAAATGTGTATGTGCATAAACGTGGATTCATCTGGAAGGTGCAGGGCTTCATCACACTGTGGGCTTGCTGGGAACCTGTTAATGTGGCAACAGTTTGTCATGGACTGTTTTATTAATCTTCACAACATCTGGAAGGGGTGAAAACTATTTTATCAACTTTAAAGATAAGGAAATTACACCCAGAAGCGGGCTCTTGGTCACGGAGCTTGGGAAGCCTAGCCCATTCCTTCTTTCTTCATTTATCAGGTACCCACAATATATTAAGCATTGTTCTAGAGTCTAAGATACAGCCTGTGCCCTAGGGGCTCCAGGCTCTCAGAGCATACTTACTATAAAATACTATGTTTTGCTTATCTGAAATTCAGGTGTCACTGAGCATACTGCATTTTTGTCTGTATTCACCTTACACTGGCCACCAGGGTGACTCAGGCACTGGTCCATTCTCTTCCAGAGGAACTGGGCTTGGAAGGCAATGCTATGAAGACCAGCAGAGCAGCTCAAATAGGGACATCCAGGGACAATGTTCCATTGAGAACCATATCTAGCTGCTACAGCACCCAGAGCAGGCCCAGGAGACAGCCTGTCACAATCTTCAGTTTATGTGTGTCTTCTCACATCCCTTAAGAGAAGCTGGTATCGTGACCAAATGCCAGATTTTTCAGTCCTACAGAGATGGTGGAGACTCTTGAGCGAAGCTAATGAAAAGCCTTTTTAAAAGATTTGAAAGAGTGGGGGATGCAGGATCAACATGGGCTGGGATCATATTTGTACCTGCTTTTGAGAAAAGGGTCTGTTCCTGTTAGGTCACAGTCAAATGCAAGCCTTGAGGTGGGTAGCCTCTTGCCTTCTCATGTTCATTCCAAATGTAACTATCTACAGGTCATTCTAACCCTGTTTTCCTGAAATTTCCTACAGATGCAGAAAGAGACAAAATCTGAGATTAAGCTTGTTGCATGGTCTGATATCTTTGGGGTTCTACAAGGAGGAAGGCACTATGCTACATTTTAATGAAACAAAAAAGCAAACAAAAAAGGCTTGACCCAAACTCTGATACCTAAGAAAAAGATGGCCCTTGTGAAGAAATAATACAATTACCTCAACAGTGTAGTCAGAACAGTAGATCCTTGAGAACTAATGGAACAGGGCAAAGCAGGTAAATGTTCAAGACCAGTAGAGGACATTGAGTCAGGTCCTTCTCTGTGAGAAGGATGTAGCCAAGAAGAAAAAAAAAATGGCGTGGGTCGATTGAGGAATTAGCCAGTATTAAAGAAAAAAAGTAAACCCGATCCTGGAAGAAAGAAAGTGTACTGTATAGCTATGGGAAACCTAATAATTCCATAGGCCTAGACCATGTGGGAAATTATGAGACAAGAGACACAAGGCAGAGTATTGCCAGTCACACCAGAGAGCCAATTCGTGTCCAATGGTGCTCCCAAATGCAGACATTACATAAAAGAGGATGTTAGCTATGGTTACAAAAGGAGAAGAAAAATCTAGAGACCGGGAGACCCGTTTAAAACCTTTGCAATGTATAGCCCACACTCTGAGTGATGGAATGTGATGAGATCAACACTGGAAACCCCCTTGTCCCATCAACTGTAGAAAGTGAGAAAAAAAGACACCAAGAATTTGTCTGGTTCACACCCACAGCCTCGTCACAACTGTCCCATGCAGCACCCACCCAACACTGTGACCCAGGATACCTTCTCTCCATTCACTTACAGTTACAGTTGCTTATCACACAACCTGTGCATTGAAAGCATGCATTAGAGCTTCTACGAAGCCACAGGTGAATTGTAGTGTAAAGAGTTGAGTCGGTGACCCCTTATGCCCTTCCCAAATGCTCTGACATAGGCTCTAAAGGAGATAATTCTTGGAGATATTCTGTTTATCTGTTAGACCCAGAACACAATTTAAATTGAGCTTCACTCTGGTCTATACAGGGATTTTCAAATTGTCTATCTAAAATTTATATTTCTTATTATGTACAAATGTATCTGATATAAAAGATGCTCAAAATGCCTTCCGTGGGTTCCAGAAGAATCCATATTTATGTATGGCATGTTCCTGAATGTAGGAATTACCCACATTTTCAGAGGAAATATCAGTCAGAATGATGGAGAAAACTCTACATCTGGGAGTTGGGCCCCTGTGCCCAAATACACACAGGTGCTGACAACACACAGGAATCTGATCACCCCCAGGAGACATTGTGATATTTCCTTTGAATTCTCAACTTCCTGGCATTGGGCTATTCAGGGACACTAAAAAAAGAAAAAAGAAAAAAAAAGGTGGTGGTGGGTGTTTAGAAGTACAGGCACGTGGGGGTTTACGGTCTCTTGAACTCTACTGAAAAACACACACAAGTCAAGAACATGTTTTCGTGGATCAAAGTGCCTAGGTTTGAAACTGGGGCCCATCTTTCACAGGGTGTATGCTTCTGGACAAGTTGATTTACTTTTTGCTTCACTTTTCTCATCTCTAAAGTAAGAACAGAAGCCAGAAAGAACCCTCCTCTGGGCTTGTGGTCTGAACAGTTTCATGAGCTCAGATCTGAAGACTTGCTGCAGCAGGGAGGGGCTGATCCACACTTGGAGTCAGGAGCTCACCCCCTCCCTTTCTGAGGATGTACCACATGTCATACACATAACACTTCATTCTTAGATGAAATTACATTATTCAGTACACAATGATTTCAGCCCAGAAACCCAGGTATCATTGCACAGATATACAATGAAATCAGAAAATATCTGTGGAGGCAAAACCCAGTGTCTCTTACCTTGCTCCTACGACAAGTTCTTTCTGTCCTGGGTCAAAGGTTAACCTCGAGAAATCCACAGCATTCTCTGCTCTGAACTCCCGTAACCAGGGGCCAATTTCTAAATATGAAAAATAAAAAATAAAAAATGAAAAAGGTAAAAAACACAAATGATCTTTCTCCAGGATGACAGAGAGGGTGCATCAGGTAGCAAGCAGAGCAGCAAGGACTCAGAGCTCCCCTGGTACAATCATTGGGTACCACTGGAGGCTTTTTTTTTTAATTAGGAGATCACAGAATCCATACATTAACCTGTAAAACACAGAAGGTGGCCACTCAATAAAGAGAAATGCAGACCTCAGAGCTTGGCTGTGATTTACAAGGCAAATGTGCATTTTCCTGTTGGCTGCAGATGAGCATTCGCACTTCACATGACCTATCAGAGGAACAAGGAATGATAACGACTATCGCCTGTCAGACTCCAGGGCTGAGGCCTGCACACTGCCCAACCCCACCAGGCTTAGAAGCAAGGATAAAGCATGGGCACTTCTGCCTCTTTCAAATGTATGTTTCCATCCCGGGACAATTAGATTTCTATTTTGGCCCTGTAATTAGACTTATTAAACACATTTGGCCCTCTATGGATGAGAAATTTGCAGCTACTCAATTGCAATGCTCAATTGCAGTATTTCTAAGGGAAATTAGGAAACAGCCACTCTGAGGGTCCAGGCTCTTTCTTCTTTTTTTTTTTTTTAATTTTTACAAGCACTGTTAACTCTTCTTAGAAGTTAACTTATCAGAGTCTGATGGTGATGAAATGACAGTGTGTGAAGCGGGATGTAACGCTGCTTCTGAGCCATGCCTCATTCCTGGCACTGAAGAAACACACAGTACATTGCTTGCCAGTTTCAGGGTACCTTCTCTCCTTCCTTGGCAACCAACCATATAATCGGATGTTCTTTTTCTCTGATTTAGTGTTTGAATAATGTCATACTGACTAAATGGGCATATGCTAACTGTCAAACCAATGCTGTTATTGGTTTAAAGAAGGACAATAGTTTCCTTGAACAGACACTAAAGATGAAAACAGATCTAGTATAGAAAACTCTTCCCATATAACATGTACTACAGAGGTAGCCTCATGTTTGGATAGCAAAATATCTTCACTATCAGTTACTGGGGAGTTGAATTTGATTGAAAGTTATTTTCCTCTTAAAGAAAAGCAGGTCTAAGCTTATACACAGGCTTGTTTATGAAATTTTAACATATATGCTACTCCAAATTCTTCTTGGCATTTTACACACTTTTTTTGCATGTTTACCATAAATCAGCTAAAACTACTCATTTATAACTAGGTATATACAATACACCAGTGTTGTAATATATTATTAGTAAATGATCCTTCTGAGAAATTATGATGCCATTAGGGAAATAGCACTAATGCCCCTATAAACATAAATATAATTTATAAATATCTGTAAGGCTCTAGGAATTATACAACAGAGAGGAGAGGCTGATGGGAATAATGGGAAGGAAGAGTCACCCAGAATCACAGGGCAGCTGCTCTAGAGGAGCAGGCAAGGAAATAATATTCAGACCACAGTGTCCCTCTGTACCAACCTCATATGGAGATCACACTTAAAGAAAAAAAAAACTTTGCTTTTGTCTCGTTTTAATTATTTAATTTAGTTTTATTTTATGTGCATTGGTGTTTTGCCTGCATGCATGTCTGTGTGAGGGGTCTGTACTGTCTTCCTGGAAGTGGAGGTGGTTGTGAGCTGGCATGTGAGTACTGGGAATTGAACCTGGGTTCTCTGGAAGAGCAATCAGTGCTATTAACCACTGAGCTACCTCTCCAGTCCATCATCTAACCATCTTTATTCTAACATGAGGACCATGGTTTCCTCTCTCTGTATCTCATATAACCATCCTTACTATGACAGTACTTCCAGGTAACGGGAGATTAAAACCAAAGTTCTGGTGTCTACAGCACAGAAGCAGAGCCTTGGACGTGGTGGCCTTTGAGGAAGGTGGGAAGTTAAAGGTTAGGAATGAGTGAGTCCATTCAAGAGTTGGTGAATTAATAAGGAAGGAGTAAAGATGAAGAATGAAGAAAAGAAAAAAGTAATAGCAACTTAAGAAATGCTGGACTGGAAATCGAGAGGTATACTTAACATGTAAACTATAGGGAAATTCAGGTACAGTGTATGATATCTGGGCTTTACAGCAGATGTCACAAGAAAGCATCTATAAGTTTTCAAGAGAGCACTTAATTTACCGAATCAAAGATCCTGGGAATAGGAATGGGCCATTGACAGAGAGGATGCTGTGCAAAGTGTAGAGAAAGAGGAAGAATACCAGATACTAAAAACACTAAATATCATAGAATTTAGGTAGTTACCATGAAAATGGAAATGCAAGAGGTGCTGGGAGGGTCTTTGTCAGACTGGTGATTAGAGGTGAGACCAAGGAGGGGAAATTAAAGGAAACAAAACATTTTCAGGTCAAACCAAGGAGGTCAGAGGGCATGAGCTGATTTACTGAAAGGTCATGGATTCAACTGCAGCCAAAAGAATGTCACCCATTAAAATGGACAGGTGGACTGCAGAGACATCTTCACATATCACTAAGACCAGAAGAGCTGACATGATGCTTAAATTCAAAAGCATCACCATTTAGAGGAGAAACCCACAAACAAAGAGCCCTGATCTAGACTCCCAGGCTGGAGGGAGTGCATCTCACTTCATTCACCATAACTTGCAAGCTCCAGAGGCAAGAACTCAGGCCCTCTCCCAAATATAAGAGGGGGGAAAATTAACAGAGCCAAGGCTGACCTTGCTTGTTGGTAGAGAAATGCAAACCAAGGGAGAGCAGAAAACATTATTACAAATATCAGAAAATAACCAGCTGGCTTTGTTCAGCATCCATTCATCAGTTCAAAGTGGGACAGTGGAGACAGGAGGAGCCAGATGAAAGCAGCACTTCATGCTTGGGCTTCTGTTCTGAAGACCGGCAACAATAACAAAACAATGGTGTTTCTGAAAACATTCCCAAGAAGTAAAAAGAGAAGCCGAGCCAGAAAAAGAAAACGAGATAACAGTATCATGGTCAGTGTTGTTCCATTTCGTTAATTGAAATTCAAATGTGCCTCCCCCGTAAAACAAACAAAACAAAACTGTACTTTTACAGGAGCAACACTCACTCAGAAATCAACCTAACTGTATAATTTCTTCATTTTGATTGTCGATTGCATTCCTGATCAACGTTGGTCTGCCTCAACCTTGTGTATCTTATACCCTTACTTCTTACTGAATCCATTAGGGCGCTTGTGGGAACTTCTGCACAGACCAAGCTCTCGAAATAAACCCCTAAATGCACAAACCACAACTTCTCAGTCTTCTCCATCCTCTCCTGAAGACCAGGGCTCTGATTTTTGCAAAATCTCATCTCTTTAATTCCTTTATTCCCTTTCCTATGTCAGTCCTTTTACCCTTTTAAGTCTCCAGTAATAACCAAGTCACTGCCCTTCAGCATGTAGAACTCTATCTAGTAAGAAACACTTTAAAGCTGATTTGGTTGCACTATTTTGCTATTAAAAGCACATAAACTAATTGTATAATGAACTCTAACATATGGTAGGCTAGAGCGATGGGAAGATTAGGTTTATGTGTATTTTGGCCAAATCTACAAGGCATATACAATGTAAACATTTCATAAGTTATTTCAGACAAAAAGGAAAAGCTTCCCAATTCAGTTTGAGGTTGTAATTATTATAATAATCTAAGTGGTAAGGCTGGATCAGTAGCATTCTAAAAATTGAACCTAGAGATCAACTGAGAACACAGCTTAAAATATATTAAAGAAATGTATATAGTATCAGCAAATCAGATATATGTGTGCACATACAAATACACATGGAAACATACATATATTCACGAACACACACACATATATGCACATACATACATAATGTATTCATATGGGACATAGGTAATTAGACTTATCTAAGAAATGTAAGACCCTGCAATCCTAGCATCAGAAAACATGTAATTTACCTTCATGATAACAGATGTCAATAACAGCAGTAAGTCATTATCAATATCACCTTCCAAAATTCATAAAATAAACAGAAACAGTCTAGCTAGGGAAGTTCAAGTTGAGGTGGGGCATAACACAAATCTTAAAAGGTCTTATTAATAAAATCAACCCTGAAGCCAGGTATTTCTGGAAGATCAGAGAAGCAGAACAAGCCTCAGCTTCCTCACCTTGCCAATTCCTCAGCTGATCCTGTATCTTCAGACTGGAAGCCTCTGGGTCCTCATCCAAATGGATCTCAGCTGAACTGCTGCTCAAAAGCCCAAAAGTTTAACCAGGCTCTAGTTTTTGGTTTTCATGCCTTTTATACCTTTCTGCTTCCTGCCATCACTTTCTGGGATTAAAGGCATGAGTCACCATGCCTGGCTGTTTCCAGAGTGGCTTTGAACTCACAGGGATCCAGACAGGTCTCTGCCTCTGGAATGCTAGGATTAAAAGCATGTGCTACCACTGCCTAACCTCTATGTTTAATATTGTGGCTGTTCTGTTCTCTGACCCCCAGATAAGTTTATTGGGGTGCATAATATATCAACCACAATGGGGCAGGAGAGAAGCCTCAAGAGACTGCAAAGCTGGTAGAAAATGAGTTTTGGGGTTGGTCAAGAAAGGCGAAGAAGAGAGCAGAGTGAAGAGACATCCTAGAGCACTCCATGAGCTGAGGGGATACAAGTTTCATCAATATTCCTATGCTCATTGCTGCAAAGGGCTGATTTTCTTTCTTCCTCCTCTGATATTGCTGAAATATGCATATGATGAAAGGGACCTTAAGTACAACAGATAACAGGAGCATTGCTGAGAAGTGGAATGATACAAAACTTGCAAGTCCCAACTGAGTACCTGGGTCTCATTATGACACCCAGTGAACACCCTGGAAGACTCAACCTTTGCACAAGCATGATTATTGACACATGTAATGATTTTCTACCACAAAGTCAGATGAGTTGATTTTTTTTGAGTTCTTATGACAACATAAGCTCCATATTACATTTTGCCAATATTTTACCAAACGTATACAAATTCTGCTTT